TCATCGTGAAATGCAAACAAGTACAAACATGTAAACGAAAACGTTATATAAAAGTTGCAAAGATTTAATAATTAAGCTATAACCAAACAACTACCGAAGCTCGATTCGACAGTGACCTGTTTTCGGGTATCTTAAGAGAACCTATATATGTATATGTATAACCATACTGGACTAATCGGTCATTTACCTTGCAAGTTTCCTTAATACCTAAATATGTAAAATTCGCAAAACGGAGACATTCCCAAAAAATATGGAGAATAGGCATATTCAAAATGACTCATCTTGAGCAGTAAGGACTGAATCACAATCACGGCAGAACCGTATAGCAAATCCTATCCAAGGATCCAACTGTTATTAAACACGCATTGCATGCACTTAACATGAGGAAATAAAAAAAATAATATAAATAATCAAAAGTACATACTTGGCTCCGTACTTTTCGGTTCTCAACCTTTGAGCTAAACATGCACAGATTTAGATTCAATCAAACAAAACTTATGACAGCACAAATTCATTACAATTTAGCATTTTTCAATACCTCGTACTGTAGCATTTAATGGCTTAGCAACAACTTAAATAGCACTGATCAGGCGAAGTAGGAACTTCGTGTTCGTTCGAGAGTAGTTACCCAGTCGGTGGAACGTCAGATTCAGAACCGAGAGGTTCTTGCCTCGGACCCCGCTCAGGTCATTCGCCTTACTTCTTCACGTCGCTGACAAATGAGTACGACAATGAGGAAGGAAGCAGGAGATTAGACTGTGAGATTATACTATTTGCCACACTTACAACTGCCTTTAAGGGTGATGGTATAAAAATCGAGATTAGAACACCACCATTATGCTAGGGGGCGAGAAACAGCTGCTTCATGAAAATGTAAGGAACATCGATATTTCCAACATTGCAACTATTACAAACTTTCCTCCAACTTTCTTTTTCCTTCCTTCATACGTCTATCCAAAACAGCATAATTTGTATGTTGAAAGGTATGGAAATGAACGCAAAGGAATCAAAGTTTCTTATAGACTAACAGCAATTAGTCTGTCGGAGATGACGCATAAAGTAACGTGATCTGCGCTGCTGTACAATGAGCTGAGTAATGATGCAAATATATTTATTAGTTTTCCAATATTTCTCCGCTTATATCCTAGACCGTGGTCAACAATGTTATCTTCTTCATCTTCCATCGCCGCTTCTACTTTCAGGTCGCGGGTCAACAACGTTATATAATGACTAAACGAATTCCATGTAGGAAACAAGCGGCGCAAGTGACGTTCATCTGAAGAGTTTGATATGACCTAGCTGAACAAACTTCTGTGCCAGGCAGTTCGAGATACCGTTGCCTGTGGACAAACTGAGGATCTTGAGGTGAATAAAATTACTCGAACATCTAGCATTCGGGACAATGTGGAAAATCTTTAGAAACTGCAACCCCGCAGCCAGAAAGAAATAACAAGTCATGAAAATGGACACAAGGAAGAAGACAGTCGACATTTGACAGAAGCATGTGACGGCGACAGAAGAGGTACCTGTGCACATAGATGCAAAAATATGATAACGAATTTGACCGCATAAGTGGTTCGTTAAATTTCTGGGAAGAGGAAGGAAACATTATAACGGCGTGAAACCCAAAGAAGCTATGGAGGTAAGGGTCACACTCCTGAACGTATAATCATTATTCATTGCGAAGCAGATTCGTCATAACAACAGTGGCATTATACTGGCTTCAATACTCAGCTGACTCAGATGCAACTTATTACGCACTGAAACAACTTTACTACCGTATGAAAAAAAACCGAACGTTGTCCGCGAAATATCCACCTATGACAACCTCCACTGGAGCATTTTATGGATACAGACTGTTTTACTTATTAATAACCCGACTAGCAACCCAGAACTTTGAGAATATTTTACCGGCAGAGAGACATACATCACTCGATCATTCACTAAATGTCACATACCGGAGAAGCAAGCTTTTTTCTGCATGTACAGGTAACCGACAGACAATGCAACGAGTACAAGAATAACGGCAAGAGACAGTCCAACGGCGAGGCCAACTTGTGCTTGATAAGAACCCCCATTTTCGCCAGTCATTGTTCCTTTAAATAAATTGATCGATGTTGCATAAAACTAAAAAAGCTACAGTCATCAATATACCGATCAGTTTCTCCAGGCTGACGTCAGGCGAGATCAAGCCCTGTATGTTCTGAATGTGCAGCTCGATCCTTTTCTTCAAGTCCTGATCGGTCAAAGGGTCGATTTGCAGCACTGCGCGATAGCACGATTGATAAGATGAGTTCTGAAACGATAATCCATAAAATTTTGTTTCTGATCTGAAAAGTCAAGATGGCAGTGTATCATTTAACCTCTGAAGAAATTTAGCTCCTCTCGTCAAAAGATCTCAACTAAAGTATGTGCAGCTTAATAAAAACAATACTTATGATATTTCAGCAAGTCACAAATGAGCTAAAGCTGCATAAAATTTTTACTCAATATAATACGAAGATTCTGCCATTTCCAACCACCCTGGGCGCGTCTTCAAGGAAATAATTAGGTTTCACACAGAGTCACTTTCATGACGGGGTGAGGATGGGGTTGATCAATATGAATGAGTAATTCTACCGCTGGTTTTAAACGACCGTCTGATGTTTTCGGTCCATAGGTCAATGATATCTGCGTCGACATCACTACTGACACCTCACTGCGTGCATCAGCAGCGTCTCATTGACTTTACAGATGAGATATTGCTTTGTACGTGCGACGCCTTTCGTCTTGTTCAAGGATACAGTAGGTTGACGGTTTTCGACAAGTTCAATACTTATTATAATGCATATATTGAATTATTGGAATAAGTAAATAGATATAAAATAAATTTATTGGAATGCACTGCGCTATAGCACTGCATTACTTCTAAGTATAATAAGCGTTACATGGAGAGAGCATTCATTCTGTTCTGGCCAGAGCAACGAATTGGCGTCCTCCAATGAACGATCATACGGCATAAGAATCCACCGCACCGCAGGCGCTTAAATACAGTTGTGCCGTGGTCTGCTATAATAGTCCCTTGGTGACAGAAACAATTATTTGGTGTCATGATGCGGTAAAATCCGGTGTAATGATTCCATCTTCTTATACGACCACTGTATCAGTATAAAATAACGAACTTGCAATCCTTCCATCTTTAGAGAGCGACATGTTACAGAATCAATGTTACAGCAATTGCTATATCTCTCTCCCTGAAAACGGTTCGAGCATGAAATGAAACGTTGGAGAACCGGTACATAATAAATTTTTTATGCGGCTTTGATTTTTCAACACAGTGGAAAATGAACGACGGTTATGAACACAACCAGAACACTTATGTTAAAGTTAGAGTTTACTTTACGGTCAAAGTCACGATTTAAATAGCAATAACCATGCACAGGGCAAACCGTGACGGTTATAAGACCAGAAAAATATAAGGGGTAGTAACCGTTAGCTATGGAATTTGCACTCAGAAAAATGCACCTTCGGTTGGTTGGATTGTGCGAAGCTTCGGCATCACGTTAAAAGCTTCAAGGTACAAAGGATACCATAAATCGTGGAAGACCGCGAAAAAAAATTTCGACGTCTGTAAAGAATCGTTCCATTTATTATCTTTTATTCTTGATCAATTCTTGTACCTGGGGTACGGGAGTCACTTTCGTTTGATCTGGGTAACCACGCTTGCCTGTCTCGTGTGACTTGTGGTCAAGAGGTTCTATATCTCTCTTTCAGGCCGTCGTCGTAACATTTCAGTGGAGGTTTCCCAATTAGGAGTTTGTATCCCTCCTTGTAACCAACCAATCACTACTGAGTTTCTGTTATTTGTCAATGTTGCAATGTGACGAGTCGGTCGTACCATATTTTCCTTTACATAACCCTTTAATATGATTCGAACGCGATCCTGAAATGACGAGCATTTTGTCAAAAAAACGTACTCCTACGAGTTCTACGGTTAAGAATCACGGACCCCTCAAAAAGATCATTCAAATACTTTTGAACATTGAACATCTCTTAAAATAGGAATTTTTGTGACACACGCGCATGACAAACCGCTATCATACTTGTTCTGGTCTTAAGGCACGGAAGTTTTTGTAGGTACTAGCGATCGGGATTTTTTCGCCGTCTATCTGCCAGTAGATGCCATCTTCGTGAGGTGCCGGATTTGCACAATATTCAGCGATTAAGTCGACCCGCTGAGCATCTGGTTCTTTGCTGCTGCTGAACGAGGTCAGCATCGGGGGCCCTAACACAACAAGGACATATTATAGCAGAATCGAGCAGTAATACTAATACAATAAACAGTAATACTCACCGACAACGTCGACGTGTAGTGCGTCAGAGGGTGCCGAAAGTACGTTACGGTCACATTTCCAGCTCCCAGAAGCGATTTCGTTGCACGGCATACAC